GTCTTTTTAACAATTGATCAAAGCGTTTTATCTGTTCGTCTATCTCTTTTTTCTCTGCTCAGGTACAAGCTGACTAACTGTATTGCACAGATACGACTCTTGCTTGCAGCCCCCATTCAATAAGTTTTGAAATGAACCGAATAGCTTGCCCAAGTAGCCAGCCTCTGATGCCATTTCCGTAATTCAGGTATACCTATCCAGTACCACCTGCGATTGGCCCCGATGGAGTGCAATACCTCCGGTTGCAGTCCACGGCATTCGTTAGTTCCCCAAAGCCGAACTTTGGTTCACATCTGGAATGCCCTCATTTAGATCCAGTCGCTCAAGTTTCCCCTGCTCTTTCAAAACAGATTCTATAACCACTGACTTGACTATCATACATAGATTTATGATGGCCTAACGCCATTCAGATTTGTGCGGTCTTCCTTTAGCTCCAAGGGGCCTGTTAAAGCAAGGGATAATGAACCTATCAGGTCAAACATAACAGGGTTTCTTGGGGCAAGTTAGTAGTAACCAAATTTCAGGTAGTCCGTTAAGTGGTCGTAGAACTAAAACGTGTTTTTTGAATGGAAAGTAGAAGAATCAGTGAGGCCATCAAGTGCTGTGGGCCTGTCGAGATTCGAAGGACTGTAAGCAAGTTTACAGACAGCTCGCGAAGAGTGCAGAAATAGAGAGCGAGAGAGGGAGAGTCAACGACTGGCCTTCGCAATATTCTCTGGGATCTATAGGTTAAGTTCAGTGATCAAAAGTGTTATTGAGTTACGTTCAAATATAGTGTAACTACTTGGATAGCTAAGTAAGAATGAATCCAAGAAGAAGTGGTAGAGAGTGAGAAAACCTAGAGCCATTCAGAAAGACAATTCACATCTATAGAAATCGCTATATACACAAATACTGACCAAGATTTGCAACGATGTATCTGAACTGTCTTCCAATCCATAGTCCGAGTATCTACTGTAAAACAATAATTGACTAGGATTAGACATCAAAACGTGCTCAGGAAATGTGATTTACGGCGAATGATAATGCTTCTGAAATTCATCGTGTTGAGCTGAAATAAGAAGTGAGATTTGCACGACATCTGACGGATAAATTAACTACCTATCCTCTTTCATCCGAATGTCAAAGAATCTCATTGTATTTTTTGAATCTGTTTCCTTTGTAAACTGTAAACTGTTATGAGCTGATTTAAAGATATTTGAGAGTTGATCTACCTCATCTGAGCAATTTATAACACACCGGATGTTGTCTGCATATCGTTTACATAGACAACAGTTGGGGATCGTTGATTCAAGCGTGCCACTTTCCAAATTTGTCATAATGGCGTCGAAAAACAGTGGTTCGAGTGGACTTAGCCCATTGCTTCTCGGAATATACTGTGATAAAAATGCCGGGGTATAAATCACGGAAAAACTATTCACCAGTCCGTCCTTTAAATTTTGCTCAGCGGGAATAACCAGACCATCTTGGAATCATTTGAATACTTGCTTATGTGCTCTCAATGTTGATGTTCATTCATACTGACCACTAGGGTGTCATCAGTTTGCACAAGGGAAATATCCAAGTCATGGAGATCCTGTTACTCGAGTCTCTAGAATGTTTGTGCTGACTTACTCGAGTCAGAATTTAAACAAATTACCCCAAACAGCGAAAGCGGTGTAATTATGTTGGTCTTCCGAACATCTACATGATTTTGGTAATGCACACTGGCCAAATCAATTTCGGATAAATGCATTTACTGCACAAACTGGTAAAGAATTTGTGAGTGTGTACAGTTGGCTATCGGAGGGGAACATTTGTGTTGTTAAGGGCACTACAATCGCCACACGGGCGACTGTCATCGTTGCGCTTTGGAGGTTGACGACTATAGGACTGCTTGGCCGGTGAATTATCCCCATGTTTAACACATGTTAGAATGCTTCTTTGACCGCAGATAGTCTCCCAGGTAATAGCCACCGGCGACGAGCCGAGATCGGCGAACCTTTGTGGACAATGCCAGGTGGGATGACTGTGGCTGGGTGACAATCAGAAAATCATACCAAATGGAAAATTGCAGGCATACCGTCATTGGTCGAATCCTAAGAGGGCTGACGGAGGTCTATGGGACATAAAAGCTTGCTGCTCTCCAACAGAATACGGGGTGTCACAGGATCCATGAGATGCAAACCAGCAAGAAAATCGACACCATGAGTAGGACGATTAATGTCGGCAATTGTGAACGTTTAAGGAAACAGTCGGCCTAATCCTAGGCCAGGTACCAGTAGATTTTCCGTCATATGTCTTTATAAGAAGAAATGGGCCGCTTGCAAAACAAAAATGACAGGTTGCAGATTGTGTTCGCGAATGTAAAGGGAATAACACTGATCAGATACAAAAAGATCAACCATCTATGTAAGTGGAAGTCACTTTTTAGCCTATATGATTCTTCTGGTGGTTTTTTTGTGAGAAAAAAAACAGTTAATACATAGACAACTAAGTGCAATCCTCGCTGAAGAGAATAGAAAGATTTCTTGAGAGTATATGCAAGCAAATTAAAGATCAATAGACTTTGTTCCACATTATTATCTTGATCACTTCATCGTGAGCATAGTTGATGTCATCTTTTCTCTGAAGCTCTTTTTATGTCATGAATGAAGCCGACTGATAATAGCAAAGGTAGATTTCATCTGAATTCCAAACACATTTGTTGGACAAAAGGAAACCATAGTGTCAATGACTCCAGAATTGCCGCACTACTTCACAGTAATTATTTTAGCTTCCAAATCGTGACATGTAAATATTAACGCCTCTTCATCAATGCCGTCATGCACAAGAAGAATGAGATCATTGGATTCCCGTCTGATTCAGCCTTCACTAGACGTGTACATTACCGAAAACAGAAATTCGTCCACGTAGTTTGCATTTGAACCTGAAATGCAACGGAACTACGACCAGTTATCAATCAGGCTGATTACTTATAACCTTTGAAAACGGATTTAAGGGTGTGCTTGATAAAGGTTATACTTTATACTCAATGTGGGAAAAATGAATTGCTACGGCTAGAGACCGAAGGATGCTTCATCTTGCTGTTAGGATATAAGACAAGCCATTTAGAGCCAGACCCTTGGTGGCCGCGGTGGTAATATGATGTTCAGTTCAAAAACATTCACCAGGGTTTCAGAACCATTTGAGAATCAGCAGATGTGCCGTGATGATATATATATATATATATATCCAACTGAGAACAACCATGGTGCTAAAGCAACAACAATAGGGAGATAAATACAAAGTCGAGGGAGGGGCTTTGGAAGCCAACACAAAGAATACAACAAGTGAAAGCAAATTTCTGATATTTACACTGCACACGCTTTGTGAATTTTTCGTCTCTTTTTCAATTGTTTATGGAAAACGGGAAGTCAACAGACAGGTCATACAGCATTCAAGCCACTGGATTCGATTCTGAGCCATATCTTTGAGCGTCTCTAATGAACGGCTTTCTTTACCTCTCATGTCCCAACTAGGAAGAAATGAAGCACCAAGCGAAATCAAAGCCGAAGCTAACTTCTTCATGCGCCTGCGCCAAGTCGTAGCCTGACCGCCGCATCCTTTCTCCCAGCCTTGCCTAACGCGGAAAAAAGAACACGAAGGGGTAAACGATGGGTAGGCATACGCAAAACATGCCCGAGCTATTAAAGGTGATGTAAAGATTATTTTGGTCAGAGAATGACAACGAACCTCATCAATATTCACCTGAGGTTGCTACCAGGTTCAAGCACTGCTTCCGGGATATCGATTGTTAGATACGGTAAAAAGCCGAGCATCTTCAACTCGATTGGGTGCAGTCTCACAACCGTAAAGCAGAATGCCACGAACTGTGGCAATGTACACCCTTCTCTGAAGGAAAAAACGGGTGTCACGGCGGTACCACAGATGTCGCAAGCTCACGAAAGCTCCTCTGGCCCTCACAGTTCTTGATGTGATCTCCGCCTTAACACAACCACCAGCTATGTAAAAGCTCCTGAGGTACTTGAAGCTATTGACCACCTCTAACCGATTACTACAACGGACTCAGTGTAGGCACAAGCTCCTGCGAGTCTTGAAGAAGTACCTTACATTTTGGAGGCGCAAAGCACACATCATACCGACACAAATCAATAACCAAGCGATGAGCTGCGTGTTGAACTGTCGGTGCACTGTAACCCAGCAAGGCAATATCATAAGCATTGATAATCATTGCAAACATTGCAACTGTGCATCTTTTTCACGATTCTAAATGATACGTTGGTCGTTGTTCTCACAAGGAGAAATAAAGGCTAATAAATTAAAGTCCTCTGCTATCCGTACTGATTAAAACTTACGGAAATATATGTGCTTATCGGCTATCAATTAGACATTACCATAAACTTTGAACCCTTGCAACCGGGGTTCCTTTTCTGACCCTACCTAGTGATTCCTCATTTAGCAGCCTATCAGTGGCCTTGTCCTCTTCCCAATAATAGCATACTTTGCTTCGTAATAACTCATAAAAGTAAGAACAAGTGGTTTCGTGCAATATGACGGTTTAGAAGCCATGGTACACAGAATCCTGGATATACTCTATAGGGAATACAGATTTCCAGAAAATCCACGGAAACCTCTATTTGAATTTCAACCAAAGACTTCATAGACGTTTTATGAATTCAATGTTGTATTTTCACAGACATTTGAGCCGAGCAAACGATAAAATTGATTGTGTGTATCATTTTTTGTTTGCTCCGTGGTCGACCATCAGCATCCACTTTGAACTGGTGAAATGTAACTAAGTATCCCATTTTCCGGGGTTTTTCACCGTGGTACCGATTCTATTCATAAACTTGAGCAAATTAAAGCCATTTATTTTCCTTATGAATGAATAAATGGATACAGTGAGAAGCGAGCGATCCGGTGTTGGATAATCACAAGAAGAAAACATGAATAGGTGAGAAAAAAGATGGGGGATCGTGATAATTCCAAAAGATCTACTCCAGATTGTACCGCAGGAATCATTGAGGTAATTTCCAAAATAGATACACTTGGCTGCGTAACTACAAAAGAGAAAAACAATTAGTCATCCAGTGCACCATTAATGCTGTCATTAGCAGAGGAAAGACAGTTTCATATTCAGTTTGTGACTGGCGAATACACTATCAACTGGGATCAAGCATCGATTTGATCTGTTGAAGCATTTTCATCGATATACTTTAAGAAAGCAATATACCTCAAAAATCTGGCATACCCTCTGTGGAATAGATGGGGATTTTGGTAGTACTTTCGTACCCGCCCCTACATGGAATGGTGACCTCTTGACCTAAAATGATCAGGACATACATTTTATGTAAATGGCACTGATCCATGCTTGTGAACACAATGTATGTTGTATTGCATTTTATTTCGAGATGAAACAGAATGAGATGCTTCAATGAGGTAATTTTGAGTGAATCAACAGGCAACATTATCTGCAAGCAGTTAGGACAAACCAGAATTTTCTATAGTTTTATTTGTGCCATCTGTGAGAACAACCCAAGTATCAGAATAAACGTTCAGCACGTAAAATCAAATTTCAACACGAATAACAGTCAGGATTTTGCTCTCTCTTCTAAATCTAGGAATTGGTAGAAAATGAACTGTACAAGATATCATTGTTCCTTATTCAACTTCGTTCGTACCAAATGGGGTATATCGAGAAGATGTCCTCAGTGAATAATTTCCAAACTGGTTTGAATATTGTGCGGTTCAAACATTGCAGTTTTTGTCTCGTAATCAACACTGATATTCCAAATTTGAATTGGCTATCCTAAGGGAAATGAGTAATGTAGTGCGTAATACTGGTATTAGTGCAGTAGAAGGGGCGTACATCATTGCTGCGAAGGCACACCACTGTCAGCGATTGCCGACTCTGAGATCTGAACTAGAGAATGATGTAGTGTCCCAAAAAGTCAAGTGTAGAAACGGGCCGGGTGAGAGTGGAATACGCTCTACCACCAAGGTGACTTTCGGTGGGAATTGAAACTTCTGAATTACTAGACGGTAGGGAAACGCGTTAAAACACTCTACTAACACTGGGCAAAACTATCTGCCAGCCCGAAATTTCCGATTACCTTTCACCAGCTGTTACAGTAATACGAAGATTTATGTGTGTAAGGTCATTTGTGATCGTCATTATCCAGCGATCGATATCATGCTTCCTCAAATCAAGTTGTTGCTTACTATATATGCTTAACAATGAACAAATTGCTAAATATTGTTGTGAATTCTTCATTATGATTAACCAACAAGAAGGTCACACCATAGTTTATTAATATCGGATTCAGTCAGTTAGTGTGTAAAAGCGCGATAAGTAATCGCATGAGCAATAAAATGTTTCAGTTCACCTTTAACTATGGTCTAGTTCGTGGTGTTGATACAGCTCACGAAAAAGCTTCTCATTTGTTGCATGCTTGTTTGATGCGCAGATCCATGTGTCCATAGGTGTCCGTAAATTGTTTCTAGTAAATCTCCCCCTCCATTATGTGTACACACGACTGCCGCTCGTCAGTTCACGTTGGTCCCTCTTCAAGCAAAGCTCCAGCTGTAAAGATAGAGTATGATTCAAAACAACTGCACTTCGGTGACCAATAAAATGGTGATTTTTCTAATTTTTCAGTGTGATCTTACTTTGGCCTAAGTTCCGTATCACTGATCGTTGATCAATCAAAAGTCCGTCATTATGAGTCATTTCACTCACACATAATCACCACTACTAAATATTGATTTCCTTGAGCTAAAGGGAAGTAGTCTACTTCAGAGAAAATGTCAACCTGAATATGAAAAACAGTTTATTGAATATCCCATCAAAAATTATTCGGAGCATGTACAGAATACTGTCGGAGTGACGAACCGAACTCTAACAAAGGATACACTGTCAACGAATCTGTTTGTGTTCTTTCAAAGCAATTTCAATCAATTTGAAGCTCAGTATAAATTATTTCATCTGAAAACTGATTTCATTGCATCTTTAATCAACATGTAACCGAGAGCAACATCTCCACCACTTACCCTTAGTCGTGTTTGGTGTTTACGTGAAATACGGCTTTCCTCTGAGAGGCGCTTAGTTTCCAACCATTCCGATGTGGAATATTCAAAACCTTGTCTGAAAACTGTGCATCAGAATCAAAAATAACCAAGCATATTACAAGTGGTTTTCATCATATGTGACCAAAAAATATAGCAAAGTAAAATATATCGAAATGTTTGTAAATAATGTGCTCGAAAAACATTCATTATTCAAGAAAGTATTTTATGAAGTAGGGTGCAAGTATGGGAACTGTCACCCTGAAAACGTGCATACACAATAACGTTTTTCGCGTCACCTACCTGTGTGTGACTTGAAGGGCTATACTTACTGATTGTGTCACCTTGCATAACAACATCTGGGGATAGAAAATAAATTCTGCAGCAATTTACTTGCAATTAGCGTGCCTCTATGCAAATCCAATGTTCTTTCCTATTCCAATAGTTTGTTCCAGGCCATCGCTGTATTTATTACCGAAATTTACTCGAACACTATCAGTCGATACATAACAAGTCCTACTTTTCAGTATCATAATGTCAAATATAATCTACTACAGTATGCCATTCATGTAAAAAAATAATCTTATTATCTAGTCCATTGGTTTGTTTGCGACTTTCTGAAACCAATAGTAATAAAACCCTGTAAAGTAAGGTAAACATCATTACTTTTGACTTCGAAGGCTTACGAGTCTATCGTTCTCTGTATGGTAATTGTCTTTATAAATAAATGATTGAATTTACCTGAAGAATGATTCATACAACTAGCATCAACATTTTTATCTGTCCGCTCTACGAAGAAATGAATGTAGATTAATCCACTCCGAGCAAACTGCAATTGTTCAGAACATCCAATGTAAGTGAAGCTCCTTTTCCAACCCATATACGAAACCGTCTGATCAATATGACAGATGCAAGTGAGTACATAAATTGTACAGAGCAATAAATGCAGGTACATTATAGCTCAAAAATTCAGGTCATTGTCGCATACCACTTCGCAAATAGGTACACTATTTAGGAGCTGGATGATTTTGTATAGTGCTTCACTGACGGTTCTGCATTTCGGTATGGAAAATTTGATTTCGTACACTAGGTCGTAAAGTAACAACAAATTCAGATATTTCGTGACTTCCTTATCACCACGGATACAAAACTAGACACCATGTAGGAGATGGTAGAATACGATAGACGGATTCCAGCAACAAGAAATCTGGTGTTGGTCAACTCACTGAGTACATTGCCTTGAAAAACCTCTGGAATAACACGAAAATATCCTAATTTTTGTTGGATATAGTGTGGAATAAAATGTGTTTTGATACACAAAATTGAATTTACCGACATCACTTGCATTTTTTGGTCCCACTAAAATTGAATAAGCAAACAATACCCCATAAAATAACCACAGGTTTCATGGTAGAACAGAATTCGTGACTCACGAAGGACCGAAAATGAGCAAATAACACTGAGATAAGATCATGCAAACGTGTGCGGATATTGCCATTTGCACTATCTATCAACAAGTGAGCTCAGTGACACACACAGCCAAGTGTGTATAATACGAAGTGCAAAACGGGCTAATGCGACCAATCACAGTGCTCAGGCAGGACCCATGCTAAGCACAATCGACTTACCAGCAAGCTTCCTTGATCAGCCATCTCGAGTCAATGAAGCATCGTTCGTCGTTGACGGGTAATTTAGAACATATTTTTGAACTACTGGGTAAACCGAGCACAATGGGGGAGGGGTGGAAAATCACAAACCTTAGACCTTATCACTTGTTTCGTGAATTCTCTGGATGCAACTACTGGTTTCGTTGAAAGTTTATGACTTAGGACAACAAAGCAATTTTGGATTTAACAAGTATGTATTCAAAGTTTATACTGCCACGCTCCCAGTCAACTCAAGCAAATGCCCAATACCATCTGGGAAGAGAATATTCAGGTTCTACTTCATCACATATCAAATGGCCAAAAAGCATCACTTCAGGCTCAACTGTTAAGGATCCTCACAAGATTGAGTTCAAGATCACAATTGTGCGACTTCGTGCGAGTATGTTACCAGCTGTTTATCTATTGGGCGTAAACGTAATCTTATTTGCACCCTCACAACCCGTGTGCGAATGATTTGTGTGGATAAGGCGGTGAATGAAGAATTGGACATGGTCAAGCGAAAGCTTCTAGATAACGGATACCTCGAGCTCTTCGTTCAGAAAAACATGGCAGAAAAAGCAATGAGACAGGTGCGATCCGAGATAGACTCTGAAATTTGGTGTGATCCAGACGTTGACTCTTTGGTTGAAACCGGAAATGCATAATCCCTGAAACCCACGTTCATTCTTTCACTGGTCATTTTCACAACCACGGAACGACACTATTCCCCTCATATCATTCCTAACTACGAGACACCAATTTTAATGAATGTCCAATCACACTTTAGCACACAGACATAGTGCATAACTCATGCATTTCTAACCTATAAATGTAATTATATTAGCCACGAGGATGATGTTACGAGCTTGTTCTCTATTCGCGTTTTCCATTTATAGTACAAATGACCTTTTCACTAAATTAAATATCAATTGGTAATCCGTGGTACGACATGGAGATTATATTTTTAGTCAAACCGACAGGAATGAACCCTACAGGCTAAACACATCTACTTCCAACTTATTTGTATGGCCAGGTTTCTGGGGGAAGAATGGCTCTCGGCTGAACATACTGTTAACTCATTGTATGAGAGGCACTACGGGAAGAGCATATGTGACCTTCTGATAACAGTGACTTGCAGTCTTTCTTGAAATATTCAGTAACAGGTGTAACTAGTTAGTTTTCTCAAATTGTTCCCATCTAGTTTCCATGATAATTTTACTCGTAGAATATATTACTGGCAGTAGGAGCACAGACCCTAGCTAGTCAGAATTGCGTTAGTTACCTCCAAAATTGCCACGTCATCAGCCAGGACTGAAACGACAACCTTCTACCTACCGAGAAGATGCGCCAACATCGGAGCTACATTAATATGACCAGTCGAATGTGAGTAACACAAACGAATATCCGATGGTGCAAAAACCACTGTTTCAAGAATATACATTACATGTCCTGGTTTTACCAACTGGACTATCCTCGTTAGTCACTGCCCAGTGGGACAAACCTCACACTACTGAATACGACCGAGTAGATTATGAAATACCTCGATCAATTATATTATTGGCCCAAGCAGTATGGATATTACATATTGGGAAATCCACTTAGATTTTTCATCAAAACTTCCAACACCGAGAGCCGGAATCAAACCGCCAATCAGTCGCGGCGGTGCTAAATCACAGCGTACGATAAATTCCACCCACAAACAAACAATTCCACATATTCTCCCGTGCGGTAAATTTTATGTATACCGTTAGGGAATTGACTTGCCTGAGGCTGAACAAAGTGTTTGCTTGAGCTGTGACCATAGATACAATTCACCTAAAGATTTTTAAAGCTTGAAGCCTTATTTAAGGGTGATTGAAACCGATCTGAGACAGAGCTAACACAATTTGTTCATTACATGCGCGAATGAAGTGTAGCCTACTTTGCACCCTATCATATCACGGTTTCCGGAAATGTCCTGCTAACGTTTCTAAGACAAAAAAGAGAATATAAATATTATCTCTGATCTAGATTCACCATAATTTGCAAGTATACTGGACTCTTCTTGGAACCGAAGGTCCTAGGGTGTAATCCGTCATGTGAAACCACCATTTTTTTTGTTTCAAAGGGAATTACCGAACAGGCTGGATCCCCACTTTCTTCGCACTTCACTGTGGATGCCCATGCCAATTATTGCTATCACATTCTGCCATCCCCAAACAAGAAAAGTAAGGTTCGCATGGTGCTCTTTTAGACTACAATAACACCTCCAGCTATACTGAAAGAAGGAATTTAATTTACATTCTTTCTGCGGCCGGCCTTTTATCTTCTGCGAATGCTTCATGATATGATTACTTCGGTAAACGCCACTAATTCACATGCTATCGTGGCAGGGCTTCTTCCCTTAAAACTTTGAAACTGAGTGTTCTACGAAGTTCCATTTATTCTCTACGTGTCCATTTATTATGCCAGCTTTCGACATCTCACTGTCTATCAAATATGCTTCTACTTTAACATCAGGTTGCTGAAGACCGATCGTATATCCTCCTCGCACTAATCAGCAATACAATATTCCTGTGTTTGCCAAGTCTGTCCGAAAAAACATTAGCTGACGCCTGACAACTATTCCACCGCGATCCTGTCACACGTGTTCCGAATCGTTCCATCCCACCTAGTTGCAAATGCTTGTTCGTTAAAATCATACAAATGTTATGTTGTGCCCTGTCTCGTCAGACTTCCTAACAAGCATTATCATGCTATAAATGAGCTGGTGGCCATGTTGGCTTGAATTTTTCATTCACTCAATTAATGTTGATTTCATAAGACACATGATTACTCACCGCATGGGGTGCATACTGCTGGCATATGACTTGATTTGACTTAAAAATGTTGCCTGACTTGGCCCATAAGAATGCCGATACAATCAGCTGTAACAGTGACACGAATTTGAACCCCCCTAATAAATATAGCTGGAACATTTGTGACAATTTTAGCGTGGATCTCATTTAGTAATCGGAATTTATCTCAAGAGAAACATCCATCGTGAAAAATCTATTGGAATGTATCCATTCCATTCATTTTTCATTTATCGTTGTAAATTATTCGTAGCATTGGGCTAGAACTAACTGCCAATATGAAAAACAGTTTTCTTAGTCAATTCGCATCTATTTGGGAAGCTCCTTCAAGCTAAACTGATTTGTATTAGTATCATTTCTTACAATTTGTCTTTCATTGTTTGTAGCTGCGGCTTCGATTTTTTCAGTCGCTTATTTTCTCTCTTTTGATTAGCCAACTATCCGGACATTTTGGGACTGGCTGTTCAGTTTTAAACCAATCGCATTTTGGCGAATTAAAAACTGCCACCGCACGGTAGGCATTGTATAAATTTTTCTAATGGGCGGGTCCCCATCATTACGGTGTCATCACTGAAAGTTGCCGATCATGTTTCATGCTATAACACTTTTACTGTCTCTACAGTACTCTCCGTTGGGTATGTTCAATCGTATTATTCGAAGTATTTTGCTAATCACCAATAATGAATCCATTTGCACATCACTTTTTCATGATTTTAAGGCAGCCATTTGACTCTTCTGAGCAGTGCTGAAACCCAAACTACAAATGATGAATGATATTTAGACCACATGCAATTCTGATCATTTTCACTTCCCTCAATACTGTGTTTTGAAATACTGCACTGTAGAGATCATCCTTTGATGATGTTAAACTAAGTCATGTTCCTTTCCCAAAATTTCTTGCTTTGTTCTATTTTAAATCTTTAGTCGTTGAGACGCTTTCGTTCACAAAACCCGTATACCATGTGACGATTCGTGAAGATGAAATACCCAGTCTGATCCCTGTTATCCGTCTACAAGTTGACGAGATGAAATCTACAAGTAGAATCCAGTACTTACTTGAGAATCATGGGGTTGAGCAAAACGCATTCAGGATTGATTCCAAAACCGGAGCATTGGAATTGTTCTCCATGATGCCCCCAATGTCGATGGCTTTGACTGTCAAAGCTATCTTAGAGGATGGATCAAATCACTTTGAGGCCGAAACGGTGGTTCGCGTACACGTGGTCTGTTTTGTTGGCTCACACGCATGGGATACAGTCCGGAAGTTGACAAATGGT